ATCATGGAGCTCCACAGCTACTGGCTCCCAGCGGTTTGACTCTGCCTCATGACAGCCAGCCTCTACCCCAGATATTAATGGTGATCATTGGTGGTAATGAGGGTGGCTCCTAGTTAAAAGCTGGGCAGAAGACCTCCGTCTTGCAGTCCCTGCGGAACTGCATAAGGTCCCGCAGGGCCCTGATCTCTTCCGGGAGCTTGTTCCACCAGTAAGGAGTCACCACTGAGAAGGCCCTGGCTCTAGTGGCCGCAAGCTTGGCCTCCCTGGGGCCTAGAATGACCAGTCGATGTGGCATCACCACAAGTGTTGACAGCGTGAATAAACGAAAGTTCTGTAGACTGGCTGGAGAGGGTCGGGAATCATGTTATATGTGGTGGTGGTGGGGTTTTAATTGTCACGTGCCCACCAAAACACAGCCAGGGGCCACCACTGAATCGCACAACTGCCCGAGTTGAGGCCGACGACACCGACGGATTTTCGGGGCACACGCTTTCGAGAGCCAGCCCTCCCTCCGCCAGATACCGCTGACTCTCGGATGCCCCTGCCCCCCAAAATCTGGTGGGTCTCTACGGTGCTAGCTGGACTCCAATCTGACTGTTCTACCGTGGACCGCCACGGCTGCCCCCTGGAACTATAAATCGTGCAACGCGGCCTCCAGATTTTATTTATGAGACGAGGCTCTCAGAGGACAGAAAGCTAACGAGACACCCACAGCGTGTGAACAGAGGGGCCTTAAAAAAAATCCCTGCCTGCCATTTTGACAGCGGGAGCCCCACCCACCTGGGGCGGGGCTCCGACCACGACGAGCCCAATTTTGAGAAAGTCTGGCACGTCCAGGCAAGCCCGATCTCGTCAGATCTCGGAAGCTAGGCAGGGTCGACTCTGGAGAGTCCTTGGATGGGAGACCTCCTTGGAATACCAGAGGTGGGAGGGCGGGGGGCAGGCTTTGTTCAGCCGCCTCCCTGAATATCCTCCAGGCCCCTGGTAGGGGTCAGTCACCAGAACTTCCAGGTGCACACACACGCACACGAGTGCACACACATACACACAAACATACACAGATTAAACCCCACCCCCCATGAGAGAGAAAGTCTGGCACTCCTCGCTTTTTCTTGGTCACCTTCGCTTGACGGGAATTGGCTCAATTGGTTTATGTACCCGATGCCAAACAGCGTGCTTTGCTAGGTGGCATTTTAATTTAATCTCTACACCAGAAATCAACGTAGCCCCCCCCCCCCCCCCCCCCCTGCTTGCCTGGGGCCAGGGAGGGCCTTGGCGGGGCTTCCTTGCCCTCCCGCCAGCCTTGCAGGTCCACCGCCGGGCCCTT